CAGCCAGTGTGTGAACAGAGCAGCTAAGCCGCAGAGTGAGGAAGCATCGCCCCAGGAGCAGCAGAAGGCTCCCCCCATTGTCGGGGGCTTCCATGGGAACAAAATCTTAGGGCTGAAATATGAAGACATTGACTGTCTGATCAACGATGAGCACACTATTAAAGGCCGAAGGGAAGGGAATGAGATCTTTCTGCCTTTCTCCTGGGTGGAGAAGTACTTTGAGGTCTACGGGAAAATTGCCCAATATGATGGCTACGACCGGTTTGAGTTCTCCCATAGTTACTCCAAAGTGTACACCCAGAGAGCCCCCTACCATCCAGATGGCGTTTTTATGTCATTTGAGGGCTATAATGTGGAAGTCCGGGACAGAGTGAAGTGCATCAGCGGCGTTGAAGGTTTGATATTTTTGTTCAAAATATGTACAGACGAATATCCATATAAATATTGATAGCTAAATTTTGATTCAGTGCTTGTGTTAAAACTTTAAAACTAGAGGTTGCTTTCAGTATTGGAAGCCGAAAGAAATCACCTCCAAGGAGTTTTGTCCTTTATTTCAAAAACCATGATGGATTTTAATAAGTAATTTAATGAACGAGTTGAGGTTCATGTTAATTACATTGTGTTCGTTCCACAGTGAAACAAAATAAATGTGACCTTTGAGAACACAATAAATTTACATTAAGACATCCATGATGTAAAATTAAACATTACAAAAATCAAGCAAAAGTTTTTATCCTCCATTGGCTCTGTAGAACAATCCAATTTTTAAAAGCCAGTAATGGTCCAGAATTCTGGAGTTGAAGTCCACATGACTTAATGTTGCCAAGGTTGAGAAATATTGGCTTAAGCCATTCCCAGCTGCCTTGGATAGTATCCCTTGATATCTGCATAGTCGAGTAGAAATGGGCTGCACGTCTGTCAAGGCTTAAATCCAAGAAATTCCACTTTGGCCTGGTTATTTCAAACCTTTAAAATTTCATATTGAGAAGTACCTTTATTGGACCAAGTGGTGCAGGACCTGCAAGGTTTAACGTTCTCCAGGAATGTTAGTCAGACGAGGGTATACAAAAGCAGGAGAAATGCCTGTTTTGAAATAACAGGTCAAGCATCCCCACATAACAGCCACCTTGGCATACTCCAGGAGAAGAAGGACCAGTTTGAGGGGACGCTGGGACTTTTCAGGAAGAAAAACTCCACCCTGGAGTTTGGCACAGAGGTGTATAGAATGTTCTCTTGTCTTTCAGGTGTGCCGCTTTCCACGCAGTGGGGGCCTCAAGGCTACTTTTATCCCATCCAGATTGCGCAATACGGGCTCAGCCATTACAGCAAGAATCTGACGGAGAAACCTCCCCACGTTGAAACGTATGAAACGGCGGAAGAGAGGGAGCAGGGCAGCCCACCAGGCAAATGGACGGTTCCCAAAGGCTGTTTTGTCACCACGTTGCTGGACAAATCCAGATTCACAAATGTCAAGCAGTTTGTTGTTCCTGGTGAGTCGAAGTAAAGGCCAGTGGACAGAGCCACGTTTCCTTCGTGTAAAATTCGGCCGTCCTGGTTATCCACGGCTCCCATTCTGCAGGCCCAGAAGACGAGAGGAATGTACCCAGTTCTAGACTGTAATGTACCTGCACATGGCTTCCCACCCACACACACCCCTGTTCCCAAATTGTTGAACTCTCATAAGATGGGTGCGCATGCACAAAAACACACTTGGGACTGCCAAAATCTTCCAATTTGAATGTCTCCAATTTAGCATCGTACATACAGTGGAACCTCGGGTCACGACCGTAATCCATTCCAGGACTATGGTCGCGACCCGATTTGGTCGTGAAAAGAAGTGTTCACGACCCGAGGTTCCACTGCACCTGGGTCCAAACTAATAACAATATTGAGGAAGTCACCTGGAGTTTGATTTCATTGTGGCCTGGACAGCATTCACCCATAACACCTGGGATGACCAAGTGTTGTAGAAAGAATGAATCTCTCGTCCAGAAATGTCCCCTCATGATACTATTGAGGTTGGCAGAGCAAAGGGAGGGAGCAGTGCCTGGTCAGATAGAGCGACGGGGAGAGGGGCAGGCAGGAAAGAAGAGCTTTGCGGGGGGGCTGACTTGAAGGAAGGAACGTAAAACGTGTGAGCAACAAGCATTGATGAGGCTGGGAAAGGGGGGGGGGGGGGATGGTATGATCAAAGGCCAGGGAGCTGCTTAGAGTTGGAAATTTCTAATCGATTTCTACCAATGGGGATATGACTGCCAGATTTAGCTTTATAAAGCCCAAACGTTTGGCCTGACCTTCGTGCTTTTAATGTGTAATAATGAAGGGATTCAAGCCGACAGGTTCATTTCACCCTCTTGATTGAGGTTCCTTGAGAATTTGCCAAAAGGTGCCGTCTTGGATGTTGAGCTCCTTAAGGGAAATATCTTTTATGGGTCAGCCCTTCAGTACACAGAGAAAAAACCCTCCCACTTTTGCTTGCTGACCATCTCTCTCTCTGCCTTTGCTTCCCTTCAGAGAACTCCGAGGGAGCGTCTCTCCAGCTGGGGAACACAAAGGACTTTGTCATTTCCTTTGACCTTAAATTATTAACGAATGGGAGCGTTTCAGTGGCTCTTGAGACGACCGAGAAGAACCAGCTGTTTACAGTGCACTACGTCTCCAATTCTCAGCTGATTGCTTTTAAGGACAAAGACATTTTCTATGGAATCGGGGCCAGGACCAGTTGGAGCACAATCACACGAGATCTTGTCACCGATTTAAGAAAGGGCGTGGGACTCTCTCACACTAAAGTGGTCAAACAGACCAAAATTATGCCCAAAAGAGTGGTGAGGCTGACCGTGAAGGGGAAGGGCTTCATCGACAACGTCACAATTTCAACCACTGCCCACATGGCAGCCTTTTTCGCCGCCAGTGATTGGCTGGTGAGGAACCAGGATGAAAAGGGTGGCTGGCCAATCATGGTAACCCGGAAGCTAGGAGAAGGGTTTAAGTCTTTGGATCCAGGTTGGTACTCTGCCATGGCACAAGGACAGGCGATCTCCACCTTGATTAGGGCTTACCTGTTGACGAAGGAGCGTACCTTCCTCGGTTCGGCTCTGCGAGCAACAGCCCCTTACAAGCTCCTGTCGGAGCAACGTGGCGTGAGGGCTGTCTTCATGAACAAATACGACTGGTACGAGGAGTACCCAACCTCGCCCAGCTCCTTCGTTTTAAACGGGTTCATGTACTCTCTGATTGGCCTGTATGATTTAAAGGAAACGGCCGGTGAGAAGCTGGGCAAAGAAGCGAAGCTGCTGTATGACCAGGGCATGGACTCCTTAAAGGCCATGCTCCCCTTTTACGACACGGGGTCAGGAACCATCTATGACCTCCGCCACTTCATGCTGGGCACAGCTCCCAATTTGGCCCGGTGGGATTACCACACCACCCACATCAACCAGCTCCAGCTGCTGAGCACCCTAGACGAGGCCCCCGTGTTTAAAGAGTTTGTCAAGCGGTGGAAGAGCTACCTGAAAGGCGGCAGGGCAAAGCACAATTAAGCTGAGCTGACAACCAAAACCACCTTTCCTTGGTCCGCGGTGCTTGGGAGTTGCCACCTTTAAGTAGAAAAGTGGGACTTGTGGAACAAGGGTGTCTGCTGTGTGGGTGTGTATGCTTTTTATTTAAAAAAAAATGATTTCGGTTTTCAAAGAAGTGGTCCTTAAAACCCCTTTATAATCAATTGCATTCCAGAGGATAAATATTTTAGAGATGGCACCAGAGCAGGCATCCCATAATTGGACCGAATCAAAACTTGTTTACTTACCACAGTGATCCATGATGATACTTAATGCAGAATATAGTGTGTACTTCTGATTTCCCCTCTTCTTTTAAGAGAAATTCATGACAGACTCCCAATTTTGTTGCCTGGAATTTTGCAGAAAAATGAGAATCCGTTTTCCTTAAAAAGAAAAAAAGTGAGACTTTTTTTTAAAAAATGTAGCTTTACAACAGCATTTCCTGTTTGCTTGTATTCTCCAGATTGGTTGGTTATGTTGATTAATTTTTTTCTCCTTGTTGAAAAAAAATCAAAATGTTTTGGTTTCTGTATTGAGGGATAAATTCCAACAGTGATTTTGTTGTTATCTTTTTAAAATCTCTTGGGGATGAGACTTTTCCAGGAATGTTAGCGCCGCTCCTTGGAAGCAGAGGGGGCTGTAGAAGTTACACCTGGTGCTTGTCCACTTCTCATTTGCCTCTTGGGAGGTTTCCCCAGGCGTTTCTGGTGGGATGGTATCCATCTGTACGTTTGAATGTTCTTCGAGCACAACTACAAGCAGGTTGAGTTGATTGCACAAATATTGTAGCCATTTTGACAGTGTCTCCCTTGCCTTGACCTGCGTTCTTCCACCCAATTTTGATGCTGTTACTCTTTTACATGTAACACTGTTTGGTTTTTTTATATGTACTGTTGTATGCAGTTTATTTTCTTGAGAAATTTAAACTGTTTCCTTTCAGGCTTGTATTGATTGAAATATAATGTATATTATTTGGAAAAATATTTCTCTGATTTTGTTAGAATGTCTGAAATACCACAAATGTTTGGTTGGTTTGCTTGTTTTCTTTTTGCAGCTTTCTCTTGATTGAGAAAGTGAGTTGAATGTTTCTGTACTTGTTAAATTACCGGTACATAATATGAATCAGATATTCATAATTTCTATTGTTCTACATTTTTCTTCTGCCCACCCGATTTTCTAAACAGTGCTAGCTTTCTCTTAAACCTTACTATTTGGCAACTGTTATTTAAATTTCTGTTCCTAAAATTCTGCCTAAGGACACATTCTTGAAAAATTTCCATGGCTATGTGGAATTTGTTAGTGTGCTGCCAGAGCAGTTCTGTGAAATTCACATGCATCCCTATAGATATTCTGAATTGTAGAATGACCTTGTTTCCTCTCTAAGCAGACTGGTGGGACTTCCATTTGCGTGACTACTTAGGAAGAAAGTAAGTTGTGTGAGTTACGCCATCTCTCGCCAAAATGCCACTCTCACACTTGAAATTCTTCTAATCTGTCCCTTGCTTATGAGCAGCTTTTCTGTGTTTGGCTGTTTCTGTGTAGCTGATAGAAAGTGAATCTATAAATGATTTATTTTTATAAGTCATGCTAAGATGCCTGCCTAAAAATCAGCTCAAGAGGTCAGCTTGTTTCATAGATGTTGAAATGTCACTGGATGATATTTTAGCAGATGAGCTAATCTTGACCAAAATTCAGTTCATAAGCAGTTCACAATCCTGTTTAAAAACTTTGCCAGCCTCAGTTCTCATGCATCAAAACCAGATGCCCTACATCTCAAAATTCCTTTTCTTTTCCATATTGCAAAATGTACAGAAAGAACAAAAGGTGTATTTTAGTATTTTTAAAGCTATGAACATGTTCTGACATTTCATTTCTTT